GGGCAGCGCGCTTCGCGCCCCTCACCCCGCGCAGACACGAGTCTTTCCGGCCTCGCGTCCTCCTCCTCCGCACCTGCCCCCGGGAGCTCGGGCCCAGGAAGGGGCGGGGGGCAGGCCACCGCCCTCGCGGCGTGGGGAAAATGAGGGGGTGAACGAGCCGGTCTGGTGTACCAAGCGGAAGGAAGAGGGAAGGGTGGGACCCGAGACCCAGGAGAGCTTCTCTGAGGCCTTTCCCAGGTGAGAGAGGAGAAGATGCCCCGGGAAGGGGCAGCCTACCCCCACGTGCCCGGGGCCCGGGGCCCGCGCACAGCCTGGACGGGCACAAGTTGATGCAGGGTAAAGGTTTGGAGAATGAATGAACGGCCATCGGACTTGGGGAAGCTGCTAGTCACGTATGCTACCAATATCACTGCCACTTGCTCAGCACCTCATGACACTGGGGACAGAGGTGAATGGGTCACGATTTTTGCCTTCAGGAAGCACACAGGCTACTGGGGCAAATAAGCACAGAAATCAGGGGAGGCAGCTTTGAAAGAAGAGAGCATCCTGGGCCCGCAGGGCTGTAAGTGCAAGGCCTGGCAGGGGGAGCTGGTCTGGTGAACCAAGTGTGTGCTGAGCTCCTCATGGCTTCCACCCAACGTGTTAGCAGACCCCTGCTCCAGAGGGTCCTGGGAGACGCAGAAGGACCAAACCTGACCCTCACTGCCCCTCCTCTGCTATTGTCCACCTTGGTAACATAATCACACACGCACTTGGTGCTGTGTCCTGTCCAGGATGCTGGCAACCAGACTGTACAAGACCCTTCTTTTTGGAACTCTAGGACAGGGAGGTCATGACAGTTTTTCCACTCTTTGCTGAGCTTCCAGCCGAAAGTGCCCTGAAAGAGTAGTCTGCTTCACCTGTGTGCCCCTTTTGCAGCGACTCTCCTCCAGGTTACATAGTAAGACTGTGGTTGACCCAGGCTGAGGATACAGGATGCCCCAATACAGCTTGTAGGAAGCCCAGAGGAGCCCCCAGCTGGCACAGCATCTGGTACCTTCTGCCTTCCCAATGGGTATTGACCCCAGGGAGGTGCTGCCTGGAAATAGGCATGGCAGGCTGGTCCTTAGTGCCCAGAGCCTTCCTTATCTCCCGTCCCTTATCGAGTCCGGGGCTGGGCCTTCCTCCCAGCCTCTGGGGGCATCTGCCGATTCTGTTCTGCCTCGTCATCCAGCAAGCCAGGGAGGAGGGGTGAGGAGAGCCAGGCCTGGCCTCCCTCCTATTGCTGTAGCCAGTTCAGGCTCAGGCGGCTGAGAACACTGTCTTGCCTGGCCAGAGAGTATGGGCATCATCAAAGAGGCTTCTTCAGGCCGTGGGTGAGGCATAGGAGTTTGGCCAGACCCGGGACCCCTGCCTCCACTGGGAGTCCTCACCCTACCTGGCTGTGTCTCTCCCACCTACCTGGCTCTAGACAAGTCTCTTCTCTCTGAACTTTAGTAACCCTTTTTTGTGGAATAGTTGGGAACAGGACATGAAAACTAAAGGAAATCCCAACTGTCTCTGAGTCCTGAACCCTGGCCGGTGGACTGGCTGCATCAGAATCCCTTCATGAGTTGGCTGACGGCTTGGGGCTGGCTCTTTGCCAGCTTGCCAAGTGGTTTGGGAGCCTTTGGTGTATATATTCAGTTGACACCTAATAAATATCTGACATATTTGGGGTGGGAAAGGAGCTTGGGTGGGTTGTAACCCCAAGGATACAGGTTCCAATCCTGCCTCTGGTACCTCCAGGTTTTGTGATCTTGAACACAGTGGTTCATTTCAGGGTCTTGGTTTTCTTATGAAATTGGGCCAGGTCTGGCAGAGCTGCTGAGAGGATGAAGTGGGACAGCCCTGGATATAGGAGGCCTTGCTTAATCCTTCCTTTTCCAGGTGCCCAGAGACATAGTGAAGTGACCAAGCTGGGGCGGGGAGGAGCCCCACTGACGGGTGGCAGCTCCAGGACAGGATATTTGCGTGTGACTCTGTGCTGCTGCCTTAATGTGGCTGGGAGGAGGGGAGGGAGGAGGAAGTAACTGATGGGGAGGCAGGCGGATGGAGGGTTGGGTGAGGGACCTGCGTGGGTGGGGGAGGAGTTCCCCTTCTAGGGAGGCCTTGCCTGGGTTGGGGTGGGGTGGGGGGGGTCTGTTGCTTACTCACAGTGGAGCAATGACTGGGATACACTGGGTGTGGGCTGCAGGAGGGCTGCTAGTGGGTTTCCCAATGGGTGCCCTGCAACACTTCCTCCTCTGGTCAGCTTGGGTCAGGGAGCACATTGAGGGACCCAGCCCTGCTTCCTCCCTAGAAGGCAGCCCCTTCCCCCTTGCACCACCCGCCTTCAGCAAGGCCAGATGGAGATAAGACTGGGTAACCCAGGGGGGAAACTGAGGCCAGGCAAGGGAAAGTGGTAGCTTGAGATTGCCATTGACTCGGAGCTGGGGCCCACCTCTTGTCACAGCCCTACTAGTGTTGGACACAGACTCTCCCAGTCACCCTCGCAACACCTCCGGAAGTGGCCTAGGACCCAAAGTACACATGGAGAAATTGAGGTTAATAGTGGGCAAGTGATGGGCCTAAAGTGTGAATTGGAGATTCCAACCAAGGTCTCCAAGACTCAGGCCCCTTCCACTATTCTCAACCTCATGGCCCACAGGCCACATCTGGCTAGCTCTCTTAACATGTTTTATTTGGCTGAAGTGGTATTTAAAAAAATAGGAACCAATATTTCATATAACAGTCTGGATTCCCAGAGCTGGCCACACTGAGCCAGCATTCTTGCCTAGCAGAAACCAAGCAACAGCTGGAGTTGTGCTGCAGCCGCCTCTAGTAGAAGGGACACGACTAGGTCAGCTCACTCCACTCTCCACCACTCCCTGTTGTCTCCCATCTGGTCCACAGTCACCATATCTGCCTCACTTTGTGGGCATTTGAGCTGCTACCTGGGTCTCTGCAGCTGCAGTTGGGAGGTCACCTAGGTGAAATGAGGCAGGTATGAGGGCCAGGGAAGCCCCTGTGTGCAGGGGTGGGCATCCTGAGTGCCAACCCTCCTGCTGCCACCTGTTCTGAGTCTCTCATAGCCCTGATACAGAGCCCAGTGACTCAGGCTGCCCTCTGGCTCTGGCAACTGTCAGGCATATGTCCTAGAATCTCCCCCTTTGGGGTGTTGATTTACATGGTTCCCGCCATTGTCAAGTTCTTTTCTATTTTCTTCACCTGAGAAACTACCTGCTAGGTAGCAGCTGAGACTTGCCGAGGCTGCCCAGAAGCCCCCTTCCCCAGCGTCCTGGGCTTACTGCCCTCTTGGCTTTTCCAGCCCAGGGGCCCCTAGCAGGAGGATGGATGGGACCGTGCATGTCCGGGAACCCAGTGAGGGTGTGTTGGAGTTGTAGACGGAAGGCCTCCATAAGCCTCCTTTAGTGAGCTGTGCCTGGCTGGGCCCTGACGGCCTCCGGACCCGCTGAGAGGAGGGGAGCCATGGCGGTTGTCAGACTCAGCGCCTGTTCGCTCCCACAGGTGGCGGCGGGAATCGCAAAGGCAAAAGCAAGAAATGGCGACAGATGCTGCAGTTCCCCCACATCAGCCAGTGCGAAGAGCTGCGGCTCAGCCTCGGTGAGGCCTGGGTGGAGACCCGGGGTGCTGAGGCCAGGGCGCCCTGCTGGTGTCAGGGAGCCTCCCCTGAGACCTTACCCTGGGGCAGACGGGCAAGGTTGGGGGGCGTCCAGGGAGCAGATTTAGGCTGCACCACCCACCTCAGTTTCAGTTCCTGGACTTGTGATGGGTGAAGGCAAAGAGCAAACAAAACAGCAGGGGGCGGGTGGGGTGAGTGTGGGGAGTAGGGCAGGGTCAGATTTGGGGCAGTATGAGAGAACAGAGGAAGAAAGGGCTGGGCCTAGGGGGAGCAGAGCTCAGGGGACAGAGGCTATAGTAGAGGCTGGAACCAGCCCACAGATTGACTTTGTTGGGAACCTTACCCAGTCTGGTCCTGGGGGGCCCAGCAAAGCCTTGACCAGAAGGGCCCAAAACCCCAGTTCCTGCTTATCTTGGCTGAGGCCCCAGGTCTGAGCAGTACTTGAGGTTGCCCAGGCCCCCCTGACAACCTACATGTGGGCAAGGAGTATATTGTAGCTGCTTCCACTGCCTGGGAAGGAGATCTAGCCTGGAGCGCAACGGAAGCCACAGCTTCCTCCCGTACTTTCGCCAGGCAGGCAGCAGGTGTGGGCCCAGCCTGGGCCTGGCCGGAACCTCAGACCACACCCAGCCCCAGCACTGTGACGAATTCGAGGTGGTGTGAACCAGGAGACAGTGGGGGAGGTGAGGGCCCTGGTTCTAGAGCAGCGTGGGCAAACTACAGCCCGCGGGCTGGATTCGGCCCGTTTGAAATGAATAAAACTATTGAAAAAAAAGACTGTACCCTTTTATGTAATGATGTTTACTTTGAATTTATATTAGTTCACACAAACACTCCATCCATGCTTTTGTTCCGGCCCTCCAGTCCAGTTTAAGAACCCATTGTGGCCCTCGAGTCAAAAAGTTTGCCCACCCCTGTTCTAGAGCCACACTCCTGGCTGTGTGACCTTGGACTAATCACTTAGCCTTTCTGGGCCTCAGAGTCCCAAGCTATGATGTAGTAGAGGTTCTAAAGGAGAAAATGGGTGCCATACTTCAGGGCTGGAAGCTGTCGATGGGACCCAGGGCCTGGTGGTGTGGACAGGAATGCCCCACTGGCTAGCTCCAGGTCCAGAACCCAGCAGCTCCCACCTCTGCCTGCAGAGCGTGACTACCACAGCCTATGCGAGCGGCAGCCCATTGGGCGCCTGCTGTTCCGAGAATTCTGCACCACGAGGCCTGAGCTGACCCGCTGCATTGCCTTCCTGGATGAGGTGGTGAGTGCTGCTTAGCCCCAGGCCTAGCCCAACACCCGGGGTAGACAGAGGTCCCAGACCCTGTGTGCTCTGGTGCCCCACACCTGTTACTTCCCCCAGACCTCAAGCCTCTCCACCTTCTACCCTGCAGGCTGAGTATGAAGTGACTCCTGATGAGAAGAGGAAGGCATGTGGGCAGAGGCTAATGCAGAATTTTCTGAGCCACACGGTGAGTGAGCAGTGATGGAGGGATGACGGCAGCGGGCAGAGCTCAGTGATGGGGAGAGGAGTGGTCACCACCTGGGCAGAGATGCCCTGGAGCTGCTCCAGGCTCACCAGGCAGCACCGTGGGCACAGAGCCTAGGAGGGGGGCCAAGCAGCCTGCCAGCAGCTCTGCTCTCCCCTCCCTCTAATGTAGAAGCAGGAACCGAGTTCAGTCATCAGACAGGCTAGGGCACCACCAGCCTGCAGCTGCCCCTAGCACTGGCCCGAGATATCTGCCATCTCTGCCCTAGGAGTGAGCAGCTGGCCAAGGGGGCCCGTTCACTGACCTGTCTGTGGCCTGTCCTCAGGGTCCTGACCTCATTCCTGAGGTCCCCCAGCAACTGGTGACTAACTGTGCCCAGCAGCTGGAGAAGGGGCCCTGCAAAGACCTCTTCCAGGAGCTAACCCGGTAAGCCTCTCCCTCCCACAGGCCTAAAATTGCGTCCTGAGGAGGGGCTTCTGTGGGTCTGGAAGACTGTGAACAGCTCAGCTGCTCAGCCTCTCATCCCAGCCTTGCCATGCTGTGTGACCTGGGGCAGGTTGTCTCCCCTCTCTGTAGCATCCTCAACTTCAGCATGGGTGTGTCTCCATCCTAGGTGGGTTAGCAGGAGGGCTGGCTGAGGATGCTGCCTTTTAGGCTGAGCGTGCATGTAACAGGGGGACTGGTCCATCAGACTGAGAACCTGGGATGTCAGGCTGACCAATGGGCTGGGCCTTCTCAATAGGCTGACCCATGAGTACCTGAGTGTGGCCCCTTTTGCCGACTACCTCGACAGCATCTACTTCAACCGTTTCCTGCAGTGGAAGTGGCTGGAAAGGTGAGCTCCTCGAAGGTGGGGCCAGGCTGGCCAGGTTGTTGGGGCTGTCATGGGTCTTGGACCCCTGCTCAGTCATTTGCTCCCCAAATCCTTTCCCACAGGCTGCCAGTGACCAAAAACACCTTCAGGCAATACCGAGTACTGGGCAAAGGTGGCTTTGGGGAGGTGAGTGGCCAAGCCAGACCATGTAGTGGTGGGGTAGAGTGGGTCCTGGACAAGCCCTCCTCCCTGCCCCCCAAACCTCTGTGCCCCCAGCAAGAGCACAGCTTGTTCCCATTTGCCTCATCTACCCTGGCTATTAGGTGTGCGCCTGCCAGGTACGGGCAACAGGCAAGATGTATGCCTGCAAGAAGCTGGAGAAGAAGCGCATCAAGAAGCGGAAAGGGGAGGCCATGGCACTCAATGAGAAGCAGATCCTGGAGAAAGTGAACAGTAGGTTTGTAGTAAGTACAGACAGGAGACCCGCCCTGCCCCCTGGCCATGTACTTGCCCTCCCCACTCACCGGGCTGATCTTTTCCCCCTACCCCACCCCTCACCCCTCCAGGCACTGCCTCCCATTCTTGGAGATGCCTGGGAAGGGCAGGTTTTGGGGTGTTGATACCAGGCCTGGGAAGCAGGCTGGGCCCCCAGGAGTGGCACTGAGGATATTTTGGGTGGCTGGCACCAGCCCCACCACCAGGTGGCCTGTGTTCCCTGCCTGAGGGCTCGGGTCCCTTGGGCCACAGGTGAGCTTGGCCTATGCCTATGAGACCAAGGACGCGCTGTGCCTGGTGCTGACACTGATGAACGGAGGTGACCTCAAATTCCACATCTACCACATGGGCCAGGCTGGCTTCCCAGAGGCACGGGCCGTCTTCTACGCTGCCGAGATCTGCTGTGGCCTGGAGGACCTGCATCGGGAGCGCATTGTGTACAGGTGTGGAGTTTGCCTCCCACCAGGGGCTGTGGCTGGGCATGAGGGAAGGTGCTGGGAAGATGTGGGTGTCTGAGCCCAGGGAAGCGCTGGCTCGAGGCTCTGCACTTGCCCACATTAGGTGGATTTGAAAGGCTCAGAACCCAGGCTCTGGGGTCTGGCTGGCCCAGGGGTAAATCTGGCATCGTCACCCTCCTCAGTGACTTTGGGCCAGTCTGCTTCCTGCGCCTGACACCGTTTCCTTTCCTGGAAAGCAGAGGCTATAATTCCTGCCTGGTGGGTTGTTATAGGGGCCAAATGAGAGCATTTGGTAAAATACACAGGGCTTGGCAGTGAGGGCTCTGCCCATTACTGTTATTGGTGATTATTTCCTTGGAGTCTCCCCATAGCCCCAGGAGGGAAAGAATGAGCAGCCCCATTTGACAGGAAAGGTGGAGTCAGCCACCAAAGGTTTGGGGGGAATATGGGGGGAACCCCTCGACACTGGGTGAGCAAGGCTACTAATGACATCTGGGGAGCTTCCCTAGGTAAGAGATGCCTTCCACATGCCTAGTCAGTCCCAGGAGTACTGGCTCCATAAATCCTTTGTCTGCTCCCTCGAACTGGGGTTGCTGCGGGTGGAGGGCAAGGCTCTCTTGTCACCCTGGCAACAAATGGCTCCTACATGTGCTGCACATCGCATCCCAGGAGTTGACCCAACAGGGAGGGGGTAGCCCTGCCTGGCTGCCTGGCACACTGAGCAGCATCTGATCCTGCCCTTCTCTCCCCACAGGGACCTGAAGCCAGAGAACATCCTACTGGATGACCATGGTGGGTGGGGGGGTCACAGAGGTAGGGTGGTGTGGGGTGGGGTCCAGCCCACCTGCTTCATGGGCTCCTCACTTTTTCACCCACGTCCAGGTCACATCCGAATCTCTGACCTGGGGCTGGCTGTGCATGTGCCTGAGGGCCAGACCATCAAAGGCCGTGTGGGCACCGTGGGCTACATGGGTAAGTCCTCTCACCGTCCTGGGCCCGACACCTCCCTCCCCCCAACTTCTGTGGAGTCTCCTGTGTCTCCGGGAATAGAAAGAGCTATTGTCCCTCTTTCATAGATCAGGAGTCAAGACTCAGCCAGGGCCCCACATACGTGTGAACCCACTTCATTTATTACTGAGCTCCTATTGGCTGGGCTTGCAGGTGGCAACCAGTGAAGGGACTTAAACCCATGTCCATGGCCCCAGCCCTCCAGCCCCGTGACCTGCCTATACTCAGAGTGGGAGTGCCCATCTGGGGGGGGGGGGGGGGGGGGGGAGAGGGGCGGGGGTGCCGGCAGCTGGGGAAGATGGCCCTGATTGCAGGCCAGGCTTAGGGACTATATCTGTGCATGAATTTTATGTGCCAGGCCTCTAGCAAATGATAAGAGAGAGTCATTAATCAGCTGTTTCATGCATGCCCCACACTAGAGATTGATCCCACAACCCAGGCAGGGGGGGGGGGGGGGCGGGGCAAGATGAGGTCCTGGGTTCCCCTCTGGGACAACATGACACAGTAGGCGGAGCCCGAACTGCAGGTGGTCTCTTACCCGCCCCTTGCTCATTGTGTGTCCTTGGACCAGCCACTCCCGGCCTCACTTTCCCTGACTGTGATCCTCATACCTCCTGCCAGGGTTGCCTTGAAGATGAAGAGGCAGTAGAGGCAACTCACCCTGCCCTGTAGGCAGTGTAGGCATCCAGCAAGTGACTTTCCTCCTCTCCTTGGTCTAATACTGAATCCATAGGTTGCAAATGGGTAGCCTCACGGGCTTCCTTGGCCTGTTTGTGTGTTTCAATCAACTTAGTTTAAAACAATTGGAATTGGTTGCCAACATTGAATGAGCCAGACTGCCTCACATTAAAAATACGGATTTCTGACTTCTTTGAAAAGTTAGAAACCTGCCCTCTGCAGGTGCTCTCCTACTCACCATGGTCCCACCGGGCCATTGGCAGTGCCTACTTGCCTGGTGGGTGTTCGAGCTGATCCCCTGCCTTGACATGTGCTGGGCTTCGTGGGGTACCCCTAACTCCTTCTTACCCCTAACTCCTATGCCACCCACCCAGCTCCAGAGGTGGTGAAGAATGAACGGTACACGTTCAGCCCAGACTGGTGGGCGCTAGGCTGCCTTCTGTACGAGATGATTGCAGGCCAATCGCCCTTCCAGCAGAGGAAAAAGAAGATTAAGCGGGAGGAGGTGGAGCGGCTGGTGAAGGAGGTGGCTGAAGAGTACTCCGACCAATTTTCCCTGCAGGCCCGCTCACTCTGCTCCCAGGTGTGGCAGCCAGCGGGAGGCCTGGGCTGGGGCTGGGCACCTCTCCCAAGGCCACCCTGACCACCCCTCCCCTGCTACAGCTCCTTTGCAAGGACCCTGCCGAGCGTCTGGGGTGTCGTGGAGGTGGTGCCTGTGAGGTGAAGGAGCACCCCATCTTCAAGAAACTGAACTTCAAGCGTCTGGGAGCAGGCATACTGGAGCCGCCCTTCAAGCCTGATGTGAGTACCACCTATACGAAAAGCAGGACCAAGCCAGGGTGGGGGCTGGCGGCTCTTGGAGTCAGGATACCTTCCATTTGAATGTAAGAAAGCCTAACTGAAACGGCTTAGCCAACAAAACAGATCATTCCCTGGACTCATAAAAATGGAAAGCCCCACCTGGGGCTCCAACTGTGTTGTAGGAATTGTCTCTCCTCCCTCCCGAGAACTGGTCAAGGGGCAGCATTTACTCACAGGTAGCTCTCCCAGGGCGTGGCAGTGGTGGACCCAGCAGTTCGAACCCACAGTCTGCCAGCTCAGCCATAGCCACTCCTGTAGATAAAGAACACCTCTTGCCCAATGATTTAAAAAGTCCTAAAAGGGAGGATAAAAGGCCTAAGGCTGACGCTAATTGCCTTTGATTCCTCAGAGGCCCCTCAGTGACCACACCCAGATCATATGCCTACCTGCAGCACTGCTAATGGAAGAGACCAGTTCCCCAGAGGAAAACCAGGATGCTGTTAACAGCAGGGGGAAGGGCTGTTCGGATTGGCATAACACCTGGTGCCCACCACACCTGGCAGTGCTCACCTTCCATCTGTGGACAGAACCCTCCCTCTTGTAGAAGCTCACCCATTTGCTGACATCTCAGTGGGTCAGGCATCCTACAGGCAGGAATATTCTTGAGTTATCAGACTCGAAGTGGCAAAACCTCAACGCAGACTTACTTATGCCCAACATGGAGTTTGTTGGTTCATTTGGCCAGAAAGTCCCAGAGTAGGGCCCACATCAGGGTTTTATGCTGTGTTGCCAGGACTCAATCTCTTGGCTCTGCTTCAACCTCTTGACTGCCCTCCCACTAAATTCAGGCTTCTCTGTATGAAGTCACAGGGAAGGTTCTGATTGGCCAGAATTAGGTCATGTGCTTACTCTCCTCCCATGTGTGAGAGGCCTGTGTCTTGTGTTCACCAGGAACACTGGGGAGGCAGGAAGGTGATAGGCAGACCAGGTTGATGCATGATTGTTTATTCATTCAACAAATATCTGAGTGCCCAGATGTGCCAGACCGTGGAGATAATGAAGTCAACAGGACCCAGTCCTGTCTTCATGTTCTAGTGGGAGAACACACCAATATAAGCCAGTAAGTGAAATATTTTAGGTAATGTGAAGTACAGCAGCAAAGAATAAAGCAGGCTGCCAAACCGGTTTGGCTGAGTGGATAGAGCATCGGCCTGCGGACTCAGGGGTCCCAGGTTCGATTCCAGTCAAGGGCATGTACCTTGGTTGAGGGCACATCCCCACTGGGGGGCGTGCAGGAGGCAGCTGATCGATCTCTCTCATCGATGTTTCTGGCTCTTTATCCCTCTCCCTTCTTCTCTGTAAAAAATCAATAAAGTATATTTTTTTAAAAAAAAGAATAAAGCAGGCTAAAAAGAAGATAAGGAAGATGGGGGCGTATTTTTAGACAGGATGGTCTCTGAGGAGTTGACAGTTAAGCAGAAGCCTAAAATATGTGAAGGAAAGAACCCTGCCAAGATGCACAGTGTGAGCATTCCAGGGAAAAGGCCTGAGCCAGGCAGTGCGGTCCTGGGGCAGGAACCAGCTTCAAGAACTAATACAGCAACGAGGGGCTAGTGTGACAGAGGCGTCTTCCTCTGAGTGTAATGGGGGCCTCTGGGAACATTGAGGCAGGAATATGAGGTGTTGGGGTGGGCCAAGAGGAGGTGAGTGGAAGGGAGGGACCCACTAGCGGGCTGCTGCCTCTGAAGGACTCTCATGTCGGCCTCACTGACACCCCATGATGTGGGCATTGCTGGGGGTGGCTGAGCCTGACGTCAGCAGCTGCCTCCAGCTGCACTGCCACTCCTACTCCCCAGGCACATCGTCTGATTTAACCTTGAAACCACCCACTGCCCCCAGTCTTTCTAAGTAGAAAATCAGCCCAGCGGCGTGGCTCAGTGGTTGAGCGTCAACCTATGAAGCAGGAGGTCATGGTTTGATTCCCGGTCAGGGCTGCAGGCTCGATCCCCAGCGTGGGGCGTGCAGGAGGCAGCCGATGACGATTCTCTTTCATCATTGATGTTTCTATCTCTCTCCCTCTCCCTTTCTGAAATCAATAATGTACATAATGTACATTTTTTAAAAGTTAGAAAATCAGTGCCTTGGACTTGAACAAGGCACTGATTGTTTTTAACAGCTTTATTGGGAGTTAATTCATATGCTATGTAATCCACTCATTTTTAAGTATATAATTAGATGGGTTTTAGCATATTCTGAATTGTACAAGCATCATCACAATCAAATTTAGAACATTTTCATCACCCCCTCAAAAAAAACCCAAAAAATCCTCGTACACATTAGCAGTCATTCCCCATTCTCCCCTTCCCCTGGCAACCACTAATCTTCCTGTCACTATAGACAGGATGTGCTAAAAAAATGTATACATACTTAATAGCTGATAGCTCAATTGATTTTTTTTCTTTTCAGATTTAACCCATTGGAATTAATAATTATTCAAAGTGTGTACAGTTTTGGGGGACACCCTATATTTGCCTAATCTGGACATTTTATATAAATGAAATTATACATGATGTGGTCCTTTGTTAATGGCATCTTTCCCATTGCATGTCTTTTTTCTTTTCTTTTTCCCTTTGCATGTTTTTAAACCTCATCAGTATTATAGCACATTTCAGTTCTTCTCTGTGACTGCACAATATTCCGGTGTATGAATAGTCCACATTTGTTTGTCTTCATCAGTTGCTAGACATCGGGGTTGTTTCCACTTTTTGGCTGTCGTGAATAATGCTGCCACGAACATGCACATACACGTTTCTGTGGGGACACGGGTTTCCTTTTCTCTTGGCTGTGTACCTGGGAATGGAGTTGCTGGCTCATCTGGTAATGCTGTTTAACCTTTGGGGAACTGCCAGACTGTTTTCCAAGGCAGCTGCACTATTTTATATGATGATGTTTTAATTGATACCCTTAACAGTAGGGGATGGAGCAAGCTGTTGAACATCCCAAGACAGAGACCCCTCAGCGCTAGGCCCTGCATGCAGGTGCCCTCTGCAGATGCCTGCTGAGATTCAGCTTCTGCTCACCTCACCAGTTGCACACGCAGAGAGCTGTGTGCAGACGGAGGGGCCACTTGTTAGTGGTTCCACCCGGCACTGTGGAGGCTGCTGGCTGTGGTGGGTCAGCTACCAGCAACAGGTCAAGGATGGAGAATGATCCCATTTACAGAGGGGAATTGAGCTCAGAGGGAAGGGACTGCCATGCTTAAGAAGTACATGGGTTGCTGGTTTCTGACTCCAAACCAGAGAGCACAACCAGGCCAAGACTGGAGTGGTTCTCAGGGCTGAGCTGCCCTCCCATGCATGGGTGGTGCTCCTATCTGACCACTGCCTTTGTCCCCTCAGCCCCAGGCCATTTATTGCAAGGATGTCCTGGACATCGAACAGTTCTCCACGGTTAAGGGTGTGGAACTGGAGCCCACGGACCAGGACTTCTACCAAAAGTTTGCCACAGGCAGTGTGCCTATCCCCTGGCAGAATGAGGTGGGACCTGCCAGCTGAGGGGGTGGTGGGTGAAGGGGCTCCAGAGGTCGGCCCTGGGGGCAGTCCTCACAGCTGCTGTCCTGTGGCAGATGGTGGAGACCGAGTGCTTCCAGGAGCTGAATGTCTTCGGGCTGGATGGCTCAGTTCCCCCAGACCTGGACTGGAAGGGCCAGCCCCCTGCGCCCCCCAAGAAGGGACTGCTGCAGAGACTCTTCAGTCGCCAGGTAACCCCAGTAGAGTCCTCCCTGGGCCCCAGCCTTGCTCCAGGGGATGGTGGGTGGGAGGCCGGGCCAGTGCCCGCATGTGCTGTGAGTGGGCTTCCTCCAGCCGTGCCAGTGGTACCCAGGGTCTCTGGTCTCATTCCCGCCCATCCCCCACCTCTGGCTGGGCTCATGGCCTCTTTTCTCTTTCCAGAGGTGAGCAGTGTAGGCTCCCCGTGGGTTGGCTTTGCTGCCTGGCCTCGGGGAGCCACGGGCAGCCCTTCCATGGCAGAGGCGAGATGTGGGAGAAAGAAGTCCGGTGCCCGCTCCCCACCTTACCCTCCCCACTGCTTTCGTTCCCTGCATCCAGCACCTTCAAGCTGCTAGCCTTGCTTACCCATCTGTTTCCCCATGCCCTGCCTTCAGCTGCCCCAGGGAAGAGCAGCTTGATGGGGCCCTGCCCTGGCAAAGCCTGGATTCCACCTGGTCCCCCTTACTTCAGCCTGTAGTTGGCAGCCCCTGCACCAATGTGTGGCCTGAGCTGCTGCTCCAGGCCCCTCGTGGGATGTCTTCCCTCCAGAGCATGGCCCACTCAATGATGGCACTGGTGGCTAACAGCGCTTGCTCTGCCTCTCTCCCTCTGTGTCTTCCCCGCCCTCCAGGACTGCTGTGGGAACTGCAGCGACAGTGAAGAAGAGCTCCCCACCCGCCTCTAGCCCCCAGTCTGAGGCCCCCACCGGCGGTTGGCGGTAGCAGCTACTTCGAGTGCTGTTTACAGTTTTGCACAGTGGTCCTCCCCATTGTCCACTCAAGATGTGGCCTGGGGAACACAGCCGGAGCTGTCCCCAGTGTTCTCTGCCCCTCAGCCTGCAGTCTGGCTGAGTTTGGCAAGGCCTAGGCTGTCCTTGGGACAAAGGTGCGTCCCTTCAGCTCTTGTCCGTGGAGCTCGGGGCTTTCTGTATTTATGTATTTGTACGAATGTATATAGTGACTAGAGCATTCTGAAGACCCACGCTGGAGCTGGCAGAGGGGCCACTGCCAAACTCAAGGCTCCTCAGGCCCCTGAGCCCCCAGCACTGTGCTCACCGCCGCCGACCTCCGAGTGAGACTCGTGCCTGCCTCTGCTGCCCTAGCTCAGGCCACCACCTCGGGCCCAATGCTGTCTCTTCTCAGCACTTGTCAGAGCTGGACCTGGGGCATGTGCCAAAGTATGAACAGAGATTGGGCTGACTCTGGGACCCATCAGTCCACTGCCCAGGCTGTCCCAGAGGGGTGTGCCTCTGCCTTCCAGCTCCCAGGGCACCTTGTCCCTCATGTTGTGCCCTGTCCTGAAGACACCTCTTGCAGAAATGCCCCATCCCAGGCAGAGAAAGGGGGTGTCCCTGGCAACCCTCAAACATTCCAGACTTCTCTCATAACAATAGACACATGTGCCCAGCAATAATCCACCCCTCCCTCTGCGCGTGCGTGTGTGTGTGTGTGTGTGTGTGTGTGTGTGTGTGTGTGTGTGAAGGGGGCAGGCTGAGGTTGTGTGCCTATACGCCAGGCCCCACCCAGCCCTTCCCAGACTGGATAGCCATCCTGGTCCCAGTGTTGGAGTCGCATGGGATTACAGGACCCTGGTTTTTCCATATTTAAAGCCAATTTTTATTACTCATTTTTTGTCCAATGTAAGCTGCCATGTGTCTCTATGTGAATACAGTCTGAGCACAAAGCTGGCTGCTGCCCCTGCCTGCCTCTTTCTTGCTCCTGGTGCTCCGCCGGTCTTCCTTCTTCCCTGGATTTGCTGGAAGCGGGAAGGGATTGGAGGTGGGCCTGGTGGGGGCTGCCCTTCTAGCAAGGGCCAGGAGTTCCCAAGGTGAGCTTGGGGCAACCTCTCCAAGCATTCAGGCCTTTGGGTTTCTTAGCTTCCTACATGGGATGAGGCCTGAGGGAATTGGGTCCCCACCAAAGTGTGGGTCTGGCTTTGCCTGATTTTGAGAGGCAGGCTCACCTGGCAATATCCCCTCCAAGGCCAAGGTGGCCTGGCCTTCAGTTGTGGACTTGGAGCAGCCTGGGGAGTGAGGTGGAGCTGCTGTTAGAAACACCTGCCCAGTCTGTCTCACCTGGACACCTGCTGTGTGCCTGGCCCAGGGCCAGTGCACGTGCAGTGGAGCCATCCCTCTGCTTTGCCCTTGAAGCAGGGAATGTGGCCAGGCAAAGACGAGACAATAGCAATACTGGGCATTAGGCTGTAGCAGAGGCATGTGGGCATCAGAAAGGGTCTTCTGAAGATAGAAGTTGAACCAGGCCTTTAAGACATTCAGCTGGGAACAGGGATTAGGAGAGCATACCATTCCATAGCATTCAAAGTGCAAAGACAGGGCGGGCGGGGGAGGGCACGCGACAGCCTGTTAGCCACAAGTCTGTCCCAGTCTTAACAAACCTGTTGTTTGATAATCTCCCAGTGACCTCAGCCACACACATACCCATGCCCTGTGCCACCATAAGAGTTTGCTTATTGCCTGGGCAGGTGTTTCTAACAGCAGCTCCACCTCACTCCCCAGGCTGCTCCAAGTCCACAACTGAAGGCCAGGCCACCTTGGCCTTGGAGGGGATATTGCCAGGTGAGCCTGCCTCTCAAAATCAGGCAAAGCCAGACCCACACTTTGGTGGGGACCCAATTCCCTGAGTGTGATACCTATTGCCTCACAAGGCGGCTATGAATGAGAAGTAGCCAGTCACCCCTCCCCTTGAGCCCCTAGGTCACTAACAGGACTGGGTACCAAGCTGACAGTTATCTCAGGCAGTCAGAAAGAAAACTCCAAGCAACAACTTAGAAGATGGGGTCTCTTGGGCTATCTCAGGTCTTGATGGTGAGTGGAGTGTGCTCTTCTATTAACTTGAGGAAAACAGAGTAAGGAAAGGGCCTTGCCAAGCTCTTCCAGCTGGTGAGTGGCTGTTGCGGGGCAAAGGAAGGCAGCTGAAGATGAAGCTGGACCCTGCCCATGAGGTTAGGGCCCAAGGTACACTTTGCTCTCTGCGCCAGGCTCTGGGAGGAAGGGCAGTGAGGAGGTATCAGCATGCAGAGGCTGAAGCCCAGCCCTCTGCAGGTGTGAGTGGGTGTCAGGTGGACAGGAAGGACCCTGTGGCACACTGCCTGCAGTGGGTCCAGATCTCCCACCAACCTTCCCCTTGGGATAGGGAAGCATCCAGGAAACTTCTTGGCTAGGGTTCAGCATACCATAAAGCGCACAGTGCACCATTGGCAGAGGAAACTCGGAATCACTTCCCAACAAGTCTTCCTAACCTCACCTGCTCTGAGAGGGAGCTGGGAACTCGAAGATAAGCTTGGAGCTCAGTCTGGTAAGGAGGCAGACATGGGAATAGTGGGAACCAGTGTGAGCAGGTGGCAGAAATCATTTAAGAGCTGGCAGGGCTGGGACTAGGGAAGGAAGGCCCTTTGGCTACAAAGGTGTCAGAGTTGGTGCCCTCCAGCACACAGGACCAGATGTATCCAGATAGTCTGGGGCCGTGGTCGGCAAACTGCGGCTCGTGAGCCACATGTGGCTCTTCCTAAGCCTTAGGAGTACCCTAATTAAGTTAATAACAGTGCACCTACCTATATAGTTGAAGTTTAAAAAATTTGGCTCTCAAAAGACATTTCAATCATTGTACTGTTGATATTTGGCTCTGTTGACTAATGAGTTTGCCGACCACTGGCCTAGGGCCTCTAGTGGTTTAAGATGGCTAAACATGAGGTGGGGTGGGTGGGGTGTGGAGAAGGGAGTGCCTGGAGCTGAGGTCAGTGAGATACGGCCATGTATGGCTTTGGAAGCAGTAACGTTGTGGGGTTGCATCTGGAAGGTAGTGGAAGAGTGCCTGCCCAGCATGTACAAAAGCACCCCAAGTTTCCTCTGGGAAACTCTCCACTCAGTCCATGTGGTTTCGATGGGGCTGGATTTGCACACACACATCACAGACACCTAGAGCTGTGTGACAGGTGGGGCTGTTGGGGATCTTTGGTTGCAAGGTAGAAAGTGTTTTTGTTTTTTAAAGAAAGGGGGGGAGCTGATTGACAGGAAGAACCAGACTGGGGCGGCTCCAGGGCCTTAGTCGCAGACCCGATTCTCCCAGAAGGAAGATGCTACAATCATGTTCATGTCTGCATTGCTGACATAAACCCAAGGAATCTGAATAACCAAACCGGAAACCTGCCCGCTGTGCATCCGGAGAGTAGGGCACTTGGGTTAATAGGTCCACCATGATGACATCCCTGGGACACAATGATTCCTCCCCCACCCCCACTCCCCAACCCCCCATACAGAGAACCTAAGAGTCGTAAGACAGCCAGGTTCTGGCTCAGCCTAAACAGTGAGGCCATCACTAGGGCTCAACTCTGTTGCTGGGGATGAGCAGGGTCCATGGAATCCAGCGCTATGGATCCAGCACTGGGTTCTGCTACTATTTCTAAGTAGGCATGTGGTGATGTAGGCTTGCTGGAGACACAGTGGGAGCGGCCTTGAGGCCGTGAATTCATGGTTGGCGCCACACTGGGGTACCTGCCGGCCCCAACCCCTGCCCACTGCAAGCGTGCAGAGCCTGCTAGTATATGGCCGGGGCCTGGACGTACGTCTCCTCTCCGGGCTGCGGGGTGGGTGTGTGTGGTGTCTAGACCTCAGCTGCTTGGCTGAGCATCCCGTGTGCTCGGCTGATGGTGTGCACTGGGTTTGCCTGCATATGCCAGGCCCAGAAAGCCTGTTGCTAGGTGTGCGGCGCGGCGAGCGCATTCCCTGTGCCAGGGGAGCCCGGCTCGGCAGGTGGGTGCGGATCCTCCGCCTTTGGCTCCCGGGACTG